CATTGAAAAAATTTTAATTCCTTATTTAAATAGGAAGGCCTTGGCCATTGTATAGTTTTTCTGCAGCATCTTGCTTTAATGTCTATAAAACATACCAGTGACTTAACTCAGCACCATTAATTTCTACTGATGCTATTTAAGATATGTGCCTAATTTTGACACATTTACTCAGACTTTTGCAAGCCAAATTTGTACTGATTTCATTCCATCTAGACCTCTGGTTTTCAACCTTTTTTCATTTGTGGACTCTGAAAAAATTTCAAATGGAGGTGCAGACCCCTTTGAATTGTAAGTGTGGGTATTCACATACTTTTGATTGATCATAGTCATCTTTCGCTGGTCCCTTAGATGTAGTCTGCAGACCCCCAGGGGTCCGCATACCACAGGCTGAAAACCAATGGTCTAGACTAAAGACAAGTACTCTCATTGTAGATTTTGGGATGTGGTTACGTGCATAAACCTCTTTCTGACACTATTTAGTGATAAAGACCATAACGATTTTATTTTTGATTTTGGTTAAAAATATGAAGCGAGATTTAACTGTAGGACTCATCTCAATGTGGAGCAATTTCTAATACATGGTTTATAAGCAACTGAAAACAGAATTTTATATAACACACAGTAACAAAACCTTAGCTAGGAATTGCCAGCACAGCTTTGCTAGATACTGTCTCCAGTAAAAATGTGTTTTACTGTACTTTAAAGACTTTTAAACATGCTCTTATGGTCAGAACACAAAGGTTGCCATGAAAACACACAATACACAGGAAAGCAAATACTGTAGCAAAAGAAAAATAGTCTACCTTCCTGCTCTGGCTTCAATACTGGAACTTTTCTCTGTGCTGGAAGAGGACCAAAAGCGGCTGCTTCTTTCACCTTGGGAACTAATTAAAATAGATTATCAGTGCCAAATAATATACAAGGAGCAGAAAATTAGATGATCCTGCATACCAGTACTCATCATGTAGATTTCCTGATGTAACCTACAATCTACTGAATAACCTGCTGACCAGTTAGATGCCAACTTCTAACAAGTTAATTTTTAATGTCAATTAAGCTGTCAAATGCAATTTGTTCAAACTGGTAACTTCCACCAGGATGTATTTTACCCTACGTGCAGTGGACTTGAAAGAGCCTTTACTTCAAGTATCTATGAATGAAATACTTCCCCATATGTTTGCAGCTCCCTTGCTGCAATGTTTAACCTAATGATTTAAGCACATAGGCTGCCTGCAGATGTAAAAAAAACAAACAAACAAACTGATGCTTTACTTTAAACTCAGGACACTCCTGTGCTGAGCCCAGGATATGCCCAGAAGAGTCAGTGTGTTAGTTGGACCCAGCTTACCTGACATCTGTATAGATTAGGTGCTTTAGTGGGCTTTTCTGGTGCTTTTATCCAATAGCTGATCAACTCAGCTATTAGATAAAACCAGCAAAAAGGGCACTGAAGTGCCTAATCTATACAGATGCTACAGAGCCAGGGTGAAGTAACACGCTGCTTCTTCTGGGAAAATGCGGGATTTGTTTGGGGTTTTTTTTAAGTCTGCAAATAGCCATAGGGGACCTCCCCAAGTGCCTGAAACCTGCTCTGATGCATGCTAATTAGCATGCATTGGAGCAGACTCGAGTAATCAAGCCTGCTGGAGCTTGCTAATTAGCATGCTCCAGCATCCCTGCACTTCAAAATGGTGGTGGGAGCGCTTTAACTAAAGCTTGTCGAATGAGCTTTAGTTAAAGTGCCCCCACTGCTATTTTGAAGCATGGGGTGCTGCATACACTAGATGCGGTGGGTACTTTAATTAGAGCAGCTTCCAAGAGCTACTCTAATTAAAACGCTCCCCCACTCCTTGCATGTGTAAAGATGCCCATAAACTGGGGGAGACAACAGTCAGTGACATGATTTGGCTGCAAACACTTTGAAGACAGTAACCACCGCCAAATTGACAAAAATTGTCCTGCACCTACGTCCATGCTTATCTTAGCAAACATACATACAGAAGGGCCTAAAGGAAGTCAGAGAGGTGCTGAACTGAACAGAAAAAAAGAGACCCTTGAAATGCTATGTGCTGTCTGATGGATTGCCAAGAGCTTGTCTTCTCTTGTTGCATCTGTAGCCTTCCCCTCACAAAAACTACTGCTTAAATCACTTGGATAATAATCTTACCTCAGGCAAGGATTAATACACACACACACACACGCGCGCGCGCATGCACACACACACATGCACACACACTTCTGTTTCTTCACTTAGAATAAGCACACAGAGAGTCATTGTAAAGTCTGCAAAAAAAAAAAATATTGACATTGCAAATATCTGGACTCACTATTAGTGAAAGGGGCTGAGACTCAAGAACACATGCCAAACGGAGAAAGTTACTTAAATATGAGCTGCTCCAAGAAGAATGGAGCGACTTAACTAAAGACAGCAACTGCCAGAATGATTTCTTTACTGAGTTACTGAATCACCCTTGAATTCCTTAGGGAGACGCACATGCGGGTGTAACTGCATGCTGTAAATGCTCCAAGTGAATTTCTGGTAAATAACGAATAGCAATGAGGCAAACTGTATCAGAGTCTATTCTGTTTTCAGTGCCCAGTGTTATATTCAGGCTCATCCTCCTCCTGTTAGGTGCCTAATGAAAAATGGTGTGACCTTCAGACACATGAGAGCAGGTAACAAAGTGAGGCAAAAAGATCAGTGCTAAACTTTCATACAAATACAAAACTTCTGCCATAGCTGCAGCCATGCTAGGGTAATTTTCCTTCAATCCTGCCTAGTTGCCAACTCTGGGATAAGGAGAAAACTGCTGTTTTTTGAACAGACACAACATATTTTTTTCTGGTGCCAGCATACATTCATCCACAGGACATCTACAAACACCCTTCACCTCTTGTTCAAAGTATATCTGTATCTGAATGCCTCCTAATCTTAAATAGAGTTACCCTTACAATGTTCTGGTAAGGTAGAAAAAGCTTATTAACCCAATTTTACACTCAGTGAACTGAGGCAAGATCCTCAGTGAGAACTACCTGCCATTAATTTCAATAGGAGCTGAAACTGTCCTATAGAAATTATTAAGACTTAGGTACCTCTGTACCTTTGAGGATCTGGACTTAAATGACCTGGTCACACAGGTGCCTTACACCTGAGGGGACACTGTTATTACAACGCATCAGAGCAGACTTGATTAATCTATATAGGTCTATAGATTAATCATCTATTGAACTGTAATGAACTTTTACAGAAGCAACTGTACTGAAAGAATAATTGCATGGCAGAATAAAAGTACTGCCCTATATTTAACAGAGCAGGAAGAAATGTGGTGTCTTTTGGGCTCCCTCTATGTGGAGATAAAGGTGCAATGGGATCTAATGCGTGATCTACACACTTGTGCCTCCTGCCATGCCTTAGATCATTATTGCCCACCTGATCCTGGGCTCTCCCTGCATTGTCAAGAAGCAGGCTGTAATGGCTGGGACCACCTCTCCTGAGGGGGCTCCCAGCTGTGGGGACAACATGCAGCCAGGACCAGAAGTCCTCACATGGAGCACCCCGTGGCTGGGAGATTGCAATGGCTGGGAGATCCCAGCTGCAGGCTGTCTACATGTGCAAATTAAAGCTGGGTAGAAATCAGCTATCAAGTTATTACTCATTTTGAGCAAAAACTTTATAACTGGTTGGACCTTTTTAAGATGCCATAGTTAATTTTCATGTGTGGCCAGCCTAAATTTATTGTGCAATTAATAAGGCAATTGCATAATAGAGGTAACATGTAGAGGGGGCCTCTGTTTTTCTTACTACTATGACTGCTTTCACAGTCCCCTGGAAAAGGTATACTCTACACTGTGAATAAATTACTGAATTAATTATTGAGCACCTCTCCATATTAGAGTTAGGATAACAATAAAATTGAACATACACAGCCTTCCTCTTGTGATATAAATAAACTCTGTGTCTTATTAGTAATTACACATGTATCAAAATTGTCTGGCAATTTACTACATGGCACTTTAAGAAAAGGCAACCTTGTACATGGATGCCACCAGTGGAATATCCTTCTCTAGGCTTATATATTTGGATCTTATAAAAACCACAGAAAACATAGAAAGCAGTGGCACATTTTTACTTTTGCCAGTTTCTCTTTCCAAAAAAACTGTTTTAAACGGTAGAAAGCCTTGCAGAAAACAAAATATTACAAAATAAATTCTAGGTGCCAAAAGAACCCCACAAACTTAGAAGTATAGGCTTCAAGGACTTCATATGTATCTAGTGTATTTACTGTATTTAACACTGGGGGGAAACCCCTCATCTTGGAATTGAGTATGAGGTGGTGGGGGGACAGGAGCTGCTTTGACTCTAGCCCTGACCCGGTGTTGTGGCCTGAGCTACAGCTACTGCCTCTGCCCCCACCAAATTCCCCCCACCCCAGCACTCTCAGCTTCACTGCCCCACCCCTTTCTCTTGTCTCCCTTTCTCGCAGGCTCTTCCCTACCCACCCCCCCACCCCCTTTCCCCCTTGCTGCTTACCTGGGCTGGGGCCAAAGCAACCATTTACTCCATGTCCCAGGCTGGAGCAGGTGGGAGACAGGGGTGAAGGAGGGCTGGGGCCAAAGCTGCAGGGGGAGCAGGCATGGGGGCAGAGATGGTGGGGGGGCAGATAATAAAGAAGGCAGTCAGCAGGAGGGGCAAGTGGTGGTGGGTGGGGGGGAAGCAGCCGTGGCCAAGGGGCAGGGGGCAAACTGTTCCCCCTTCTGCAGCAAACTGTCCCCCCACTGCCTTCTCCACCACCCACCCTCTTACAGGCCCCCTTCAGCACCTGACCCCACCACCTCCCCCACTGCCTGCCTCCCTGTGACTACAGCAATGCGGGGGACAAATTTAAGATGACCCTCCAATAATTAGATTCCATACCTGGAAAATCATAACAAAGTTATACATTTACCATGCACAGAATCTAGCTATGGGGGGGAGGGGGGAGGAGTGTCATCTTCAATTCAGGATTGTCTTGGATATGGGTAAATATGGTATATCACTATGTTAAAAGAATAGCCTCTATCTATGCTGAGACATTTCCACCTCCCAGATGATTACCTTTGCCAGGTATCTAACATCTTTTATGAGGCTTTTATATAGCTGTAAAATGTTTAAATATTTGCTCATGTAATGGCCCAATTATCATAGAAGAATAAGACTCACAGCAAACATTATGTTTACTTAAGTGGGCTCGCTTGTGGTTCAGTACATAATTATTAATGTTAATACTGCCAAAGAAACCAGGAAATGGAAACCTTAATGTTTGGTGTCATCAGTCATGAGGACCTTTTATTAGCATTGAATGACAGGCTGTATTATTGTCATATTCTGTACACACCATGTGGCCACAACTACACAAGACATGTATTGCGCATTTAGCACATTAGTAACTCATTACTACTGTGCAGTAGTGTCACAGGGCACAAACCATGATGTAATGCCACTGTGCAGTAGTAACAAGCTACTGTGCAGTGTGCATCACCAGGAAGCGGGGCGGAGATGCTACTGCACAGTAACACCAGTTACTTGGGTATGCAAGTACTAAATGACTGCGCAGTAACAGCTGCTGAGTCAGTGTCTCCTGTAGACATCGCCTGTGATCCTTAGACTGAAGCAGTAAAGATAGAATATGGGGGTCAGCAGCAGTTGGTGCTATCACCAGGGATCCTGATTTTCTCTGATAAAAATGTGTGTATGATTCAGTCTTTAATTATGTGATCATATACCATTTTCCCCCATTGATTAATGCCTCCTTTGTGCATAGAATGAACAACGCTAAGTAATGAGAAGCTTTACATCATATCTTCATATCTCCACTGTGATAGGAGATATTGTGATCCTTATAGT